GGGTTTCAATCTTATTAGGTTCATTCCAATTGTCAATTGAAGTTCGTCAATTTTTCCATGACTGGAAGAAGTATCTGGTGTCCTTTTGGAACTTGTTTGGTAATTTTATTATTGCAGACCGGAATGACTGAAACCAAAATTTCTTTGGCTTACCACTTTCCTGAAATAAAAATAGATCTCTGTGTTTACATTTTTCCAATCGCGACAGCGATCTCGTTGTTAAAAGATGGATCGGCACCTGTGTGGGCACTAGCAATTTCCAATTTTCTGCTAGATATCAAATTCCTACTGTTTTTCAGAGTCTTTAAGAGTTTCAGCGGCTACTTTGAAATATTCTTTGGAGTTGCGAAGAGTCTTGTATCATTTTTCGTGGTTTTGACATTAATTTTTCTCGCATATTACCATGCATTATATGTAATAATTGAAGGTGGGTGATCGCCTTCTTTCTAAAGGTTCCGTGTATCGTATCGAAAAGATGGATTGTTTTTGAATGAAAGACATATTTCGATATTTAGAGGACAGCGAAAACTCGGCAACATGGAACAATCCGATGATAATAATTTTCTTTGGATTGGTTGGCATTTTCACAATTACTTATCTCTCGAGTCTCCTCATCAGGTTACTGAACGAAGAAGTACATCACGCCAAGGAACGCGAGTCATTTCTCGCTTACAAGATTATGGTAGAAAATTTTCTTTTTAAAAAAAAAAAAAGACGACAACTTTGACAATGGTGATAAAGATATTACTATCTCTTCACAATAAGATTTTGGCCAAAATCGAACTTTTCTATCTGTTACCACAGCAAAGAAGGTGGAGACACTGGTTCCCAGATTACATGTGAGTATTTCGGCGTTTGATTTTTTTCTTATCCTTGAGAAATTGTAATCTGTTAACAGTTATTCATCCTCACATCAAGCTATTATACGGCCGATGCGGAATAAAACTTGATAGAGAGCAACAACATTCACAATTTATAGATTCATAAACTCGCGAATGAAGTTTTTTTTCACATGCGAACAATATTAAGTAGTCTATTTTTAATAAATACGGGTAAGTTAATCAAAATCATAATAGATTTAAAGGAGAATTCACATCATATTAGCTTGATAGAACTGGTGTTCCAGACATGAATATAAAATAGCTAGATCAGTACCCACGCACAACTTAATAACTTCCTATTTTTAATTTTTAATTTTTTTTATTATCTGACTTTCCCACAAGAGAACAACATACTGATTAGTATTAAAATCCAACAACAAACTTAAAACATCGCTTATTTGCAAAGTTCAGAAAGGTCTCCCAAACTAGGAAGGTAATAATCTGGAACGATAGGAGCATTTTCAATCAAAATATCATGTTCTTTGGAAACTCCTAGAAACGTTTGATATGCGATAAATGTTGAATGAATATCCAAGTAAATTCCATGCCAAATAAAAAAAAAACACAAATGCCGAATAATTACCTGTCAACACTAACAACGTCTTTAATTTACCGTTAATTCCAAATTGAATGTCAGTGTCCAAACGATCACCGATCATGCACGTACGTTCAACATCCAGTTGAAACTCATTTGTAATGCAATCCATCATCGGTTTATTCGGTTTTCCCATTACAGCATCTGGATTTCTGTTTAATGATTTAATCAAAGGAGCCACCAAAGATCCCGTACCTATATTTAGACTCAAAGTTGTATGGATTAGGATAATAAATAAATAAGATCGTAAAACACCAAAAACGCAAGGTTACCCGGATAGAGCGTTCCATTATAAGGAATTGTCGAATCATCGTTGGTTAGCAGGAAAAGACAATCCGGATTTGAATACAGATAGTTAAAAGCCTTTGCAATTTTTTTATAGTTTATGCGTGTATCAAGGCCACAGAGAACAGCCCCAACCTAAAATCGAATATAATGAGGAAGAATAAGCAACATATTGTCAATGTATATCCTTGCAGTGAATGATGAATACCGTTGGGTCGGGATAGATGTTATTGAAATCAATATCATTTCCATCGTTATCCTCCTAAAGTAAAATGGATTGATTATGCTGTCAGTGATTAATATATACATTAATGTATACACTAATTCATTAATCACTAGGGATTTAATTACGCTTGATCCACAGAAACGAATTCCTTCAAGATCCAATTCTTCGGTGATTCCTGATTCGCCGATAACATAAATTTTCTTTTCCTTAGGAAATTTAAGAATATTCTTAAGGTAATAAGCTGTTATGTAAGCGGAGCCGAATATTTCATTCTAAATGAACTAAAGAATTAATGAATGATACATGTTTGATCATAGAGTCGTCGAGCCTTTTATATTATTATTTCATGACCAAATAAGAAGACGTGAATACCTCATTGGCTTCAATATTCAATTTCTTAAATTTTAACGAATAGCTTGCGCGGGATTTTGCGCTGTTGTTGGTAACGAATATAAGTCTCTTCCCTACCCATATGAAAATAAAGACAAGGGTGTCAAATAAAGGATTTGGATTCAGTTGCGAAACTTTTGCTACATACCTTTTTGTCTTAATAATGCGAGAACCTCCCTAACCCCCGGAAGCAAGGTATTACCGTGCCACAAAACGCCTTTAAATAAAATCGAATGTATAAATCCTCACATTCTGAAGTGAAGAAAAATCTTCTTACGGTGTTAGCCTACCGTCACAGTCAAGCAAGAAGGTATCGAACTTTTCAAGGAAACTTTCGTAATCCTTTCGACTCGAGAGCTTGATAGGTGTAGGCATTATTATATATATATAGGCACGCAAAGATTGATCGAATAAAGAGCACGTATCACCCAATTTTTACGTTCGATAATACTCTCGTGACTTTGTAACATCTATTTGCATAATCATTGATTATCAATGCCAATATGGTACGTACATGCAGTACATATAGAGTGCATCTTTTCTTTTTGACAACACAAAATTTTTATTGCCGAAGTTAGGTAATATCATGCTCTCAGGACGACGAGACATTAGCATAGACAGTACATCTTCAAGTTCCTTTATGAAAAAATGACACATTTAACTAATTCATAAATCTTATCAGATATGATTTTACCTCCATCAAAGTATCATGCTTCCAAAGGTCATGGGTTTACACCAGCACTTCATCGCGCAAGAAGGAGATTCCTAGTTCGCAATTCCGTGACTGGATTATTGCTACTGGGATTTGTTGGTGCCGTGTGTATCCTGGCTTAGGTGTTTACGTTTGTTTTGTCCTTTTTTTTTTTTACACAATTTCTTGACATCCACATTTGATCACAAGACTCGTATTCTTTCCTTGCGGTCAAACAAGATGATCTAGGTGATATTCCCCTGCCCCCGCTCCCTTCAACTAACAAGGAAGCGGAGCATGATCCTAAATTAGAGAAAACATAATGGATTCAAGGGAATGCATGCAATAAATCCCGATATCTTTTTTCAAGACAATCACATGTAATATTACACTAATTTCTACTTTATCAACCTAGATTGATTTGTGGTTGGGTGTGATATTTGTAACTGGCTATTAACAGATTCATATAATGCTCTGGTTCGTCAAAATCAAAATAAACAACATTACAATATACAATATCTAAATTTGACACCATATTCATTTTATGAATTGTATGTCCTTTTTAATTAAATAACTTTAGGTGAATGTACAAGTATAATAGAAATTGCTAATATCGCTTAAATGACAAGCACAGTATCTGGTGCACCACCCACGTCGACTACGTGCCTACCAAATCCTCACCATTTTCTTTATGATCTCCATGCTGCCCGGGATGTGAACAAGCCAAAATTGGCTTTCTTACAATGTTTATTTTAAATTACACAAGTATTTACGCATCCTGGTTACTAATACAGTTTGATCCATATGGAAAATCTCGATTCAAAGATACAATATTTGGTCCAGTGAGAAATATTAAGATTATTACTTGACCAGTGATCGTACGATCAACGGGAATTAGATGACACGTGAATATAGCAGGATTGCAATTTGAATACTTGTTTTTTTTTTAACACTATGAGGTGAGAGATGTCGATAAATGTTACAGTATAAAAATATAAAAACATAATTAAATTCTATATTTTATGAATAAGTCACCGTTACACCACACATGTGTATATCTAATTTTTTACTAACCGCAAATTGTCAAAGTTTTTGATAAATTCGTTTACGTCTTTACTATGCATATCGTATCCCATATAGGTTCAAGCCCCAAAGTCAGGCTCACACCTGACGCTCTGTAGCAAGTTATTTCGAGCATCATTCATATCCCTGTCGATTTTCAAAAATCCCTTGTCTTATGATGTAAGAACATCTGAAATCTATGCATGTCTTCGATCGAATTTTTCATTTGTTCTTCAAAACCATTCTCGATGACTCGAACTTGGGTAAAGAAAGATACCGTAATTCTGACATTACCAATGGGCCAGCTGATGATGGCACTCATCGATTAAATTATGGATTCGTCGTACGATTTAGCATCTTTATCGTTCTGTAATTTGTCATATTTCTTAGATAATTTAAATATTTTATTAAAATCACCGTAAACCGGTCATACAGTACATCATCTTGGTTATCGATGATATTTAAAGAAATGGAAACACACAAGTAAAAATGTCCCAGATTGCTTATTATATTATTGATAATATTTTTTAGAAATGCGTATTTCCCTCTGTTCCTACTTCAATCCCTAGCAAGAAAAAAGTTGGTTTGTGTTCGATCATTCTTTAATCGGTACTTCATTCGAAAATTATTTCCACGTACTTCCCTAGGGGTCTCTTTACCCAGGGAAGTCTTCAGTTATGAAGCATCCATCGTTCGAGTAGTGCTTATGTATAACGTTCATATCGGTGATTTCATCATTATGCGTCATCTTAAGAACTTTGTTGTACGTCCATCGCACGGTCCCTTGAATACACCCGTATCTTTCGAGTTTTCAACATCTCTTCGTCATTTTCGGTTTCCAATTGATCCAAGCCCATTGTGCCTTGCCGTGAAGATAGTAATGGTCGATAGTAGGTTTCGGAAAGCTCACCAGATTCGGTGTCTTCAATGTTAACGTCTGGACTGAGTACCACAATCTTTGTACTGTTCTTGCCAAGAATTCATTTAACAAGCTTCATATGCAAATCTGCAGAATCGAACCCTTCTGGTAACCACAACTTCCTCGATATCACCTTGGTACAATCGTTCCAAAATGGATGTGAAGCCCTTGCATTTTCAGCTGAGACCTGACCCAATATCCTTGATCAATTCGTGGTCTGGACATTTCTACCAGAGGTACTCGCATTGCCTGTCGAGATCCTCTTTTTGCTTCTTTGAACTAACTCGTGCGTAACAGATCTTCTTTTGGTTTCCAAATATCTTCTCCACATTTACTTTAGAATGCAACCTTTTACCACCAGGTGTTTTAATACTTGACATATTTCCTTAATTATTCCACTTTCTCGGTGTTTCAGATGAAATTTCGTATGTTTTTCGGATTTCTCATATTCCTTGATACTTTGTTATTAACATTATCTTGCCCAAACATATGAAAACGAGACAGCAAAGCAGTAGATTTAATTATAAATATTGTATTGTTTGTCAACCGAATGATCTTTGTTCAAAGTTCATAAAAGATTAGATCACGTGATAAATGTGCTGCTAACTTGTAAAAGAGAAATTTACCAAAATTTAACAAAGCAATAATTCTGTGATACATTACACGACGATGTGAATGTGAGGACATACTCGCGGGCTAGAAACACCGGCCATACATAATCATTGGAAATCAGAATTCAATTTCCGTATATGTTAAAATTTCTTGGGCGCAAATAACACTATACTAATCTTTAGAAAAGCTTTAATGAATTCTGTACGGTCCAAATTTGTTCCATTGTACAATCCTCTGTCATTTGATGGCATAGCATGCATGTGATCACAATTTTAAACATATTTAAGGTATATTTGAACTCGTGGTTTCTTGCATCCTTAGTGCATTTGTTTTAACCAACGCGTTAATAGAGAATCCTAGCCCGGTCTAAGAGTTTTCACCCTCTGCCACCTTATGCTCAAATACGAAAAACATCTAGACAGGTGCACAAAAAAAATTTTTTGTGTTTTTTTTTTACCCTTAAATACCAATTTTGTAAAAGACCATGATGACTGTGAAATTAAATCTTTTGTTTCTTTATCTTATTCTCGCTTACACGTTAATAAGGGCAGAAACTAAATTTGTTGGTTCACATCTCACTCAAAATAGAAAGCTACCACCAAACAGACTTCAAAAATTTCATGACAAAAAAATTTCCAAATTCTGCAAACTATCTAAGTTAGAACACGGTAATGGAACTCAGAACGATGATGGATTCTGCTCTTCGACTCCACAGGGTGAAATTCCAAAATCTACACATATGCCGTCAACTTTAATCCTGGAGCCTCATAACGGTGCAACCTTAAAGGCACATCGTAGTTTTACCGTGAAAATAAAAACCGAACGTCTCACTTTGGGAAATTTTGCCGATCCATTCATTCAGTATAACTTATTTTCTCAAACCTTGGATTCAAACGGTTTTATCCTTGGCCATCTGCACTTGGCGGTACAGAGGTTGCATAACTTAAATTCTCCACCAGACCCGAATGTCCTCGCGTTCTTCGAGGGGTTAGGTGATAGTGGTGAAAAAGGCATCCTGACCGCTGTAGTTGATAAATTACCACCCGGCATTTATAGAATTTGTACTATATCTGCTTCGTTTTCTCATCAACCTTTAGTCATGCCAGAGGCTAAGCGTGGATCACAGGATGATTGCATTCGTATTACTCTTGAATAAGAATGATGTTTGGTTTCAAATTACTAACTTTTCTTCGAAGTTCATTGATGGATGTCGATTACGAATACGCTTTGATTTTCCTTTAACATTGGTTTAAACCTTATTCACTTTAAAGACTAGAAAGAATGCCTGGTGTGTTTTTTCCCTAGATCTCCATTCTAAAAAGAAGTAATGAGAACCATTGCATGAATACATCATTATAAATAAAGTCTCTTGCAAACCGTGTGCTCTTTGCATCCTATTGTTTTATCACGTGATTATCATAGTTACAATCTTGAAAGGGAAAACCTTTAATCCTAATTTCTGGTTAGAGATTATTGGATGAATTATTAGGATAATATAAATACTCTGATTAGTATCATTCTAATTGGTCTTGTTATGCGATTATGTTTTTAAATAGCGACGACGACGATGACTAAATAAAAAAAATGCAAAATTCCTATAATCTTATTAACAGAAATTTTAAAAAATCGGTTTTCTTATATCTGCAACAACCAATCGAATGTGTGCGGAGTATTTCTGGATTTCATCTTAATTTGTGTAAATAGTTTCCCCTGGTCCCTCATGTCAGAAATACGTAGTCTTCTCAGACGTATGCACGTCAATGGATGATCATAATTATAATCCGAACTTTTGTATTCAAAATGCGCGTCAAGTTTTAGTAGAAAGCAGCTATGGTGATTTTGGGATGCCCTCTTCTCCACCGTTAGAACCATATTTAGGTCAAAAAGGCAGAAAGTTTTCTGCATTTAAGGACTTGAAAGAAAATTTAATCGGTAAACCTAAGTTTTATGAATCTTTTAATATTAATGAAACAAAATTTAACTCCAAGCGACTTCTCGAAAGGGGAGTCCGTATCGATTCGCGGATTGGTTACTCGCATTTCGGGTATAAAATTACTTGCGTCTGAAGTGATGTTCACGTGTGTGGAGTGCAAAGGCCTCCAACAATTGGAATTTGATGAAAGAAGATATTACCCTCCGTTTAAATGTAAAACTCATGGATGCCGAAGCAAAGAATTCACTCCCAATCTGAAATTTGACGAAGAGAAAGGTCAAAAATCCTATGAGGATGTACAAGACATCAGGTATTCCATCCGTGTGAGTGTACATAGATATGATCAACCCAATAACGGCGGAATTGATAGGCTCCAGGAGGTTCTAGGTGATAGTGACGACGAAAACCTAATCCTTCCAAAGATCATTGATTGTGAATTAAGAAGCAAATTAGTAGACGCTGTAAAACCTGGCGACTTTGTTACTGTCACCGGAATACTTCGGGTTTATGAAACTCCGGGTAAATTTATTGCTTCTTTGATTAAAATTCGATAGCACACCAATATTTCATCAAAAATGCTTATACAGCCAAGGAACGGACAAAGAAAGGAACGAGGATGCACCATTTGTACATTGATGTCGAAAACATCAGGAAAGTCACGATTATTGACCATTTTTCGTCATGGGAATTCACGGAAGGTATCGCGGCACAAAACGATGGTTTTTTCTCGTTAAAAGATTTATATATGATAAAAAACTTTATCAAGTGCCAATCGAATAACATTTTCAAGGTACTATAGTTAATGCAGACATGAGCAACTTCTGTCGTTAATCCTATCCAACTGAGATGATTCATTCTATGACAGCGAATCGTAAACTCTTACTGCCCAGACGTTTATGGACAAGAACTTGTCAAGGGTAACAATCCCCTTTGGATGTTTTTATTTTAAATATATTTAATTTTAATTTTTTTTCATATTCTTAGCCGGAATATTGCTCTCTATATTTGGTGGAATCGATAATGGCACGATAAATGTCCTAATAGTTGGTGATCCTGGAACAGATAAGGCTGATCTTCTTCAAGCAGCCAGTTCAATTTCACCTCACACAGTATTTACTCCTGTAAGTCAAGGTGGCAGCACGCTAATATTGCCGACATTACACCATGAAAAGTTAAGAGATGATTGGATTCTTGATGCGGGAACGCTGGTTTTGAGTAATGCGGGAATTTGTAGAATTGATGACTTTGAGAAAATAGGACAATCAAATGCCCTTGCGGAAGCCATGTTAAGAATGTCAATCTCGTACGTACAGTATATCTATTTCTGGTGATGACATCGTACATTCAATTTTCAAATGACTTTTATCTTGAAAGGATCAGCAAAGCAGGCGTGAAAGGTTCACTCGACGCTAAAACTAGTATAATGTAAGTCTAATCTTCTCGATGTCAATTGGTTCTCGTCCGATTTAACAAAGCGTCAATGCATTTTCTGCAAACAGAGCAACAGCTAATCCCGTCAGTGGGCATTATGAGTAATTCTTTTTTTAATACCCTGGCAATTCTTATTATAAAGAAAAGGCATACTGTATATTAATATTGTATTTTAGTAAAAGCAAATTTTTATCAGAAAATTTGAAGATCGGAAACGCCATCCTCTCGAATTTTGATCTCGTCTTCTTACTGTTGGATATTCCAGACGAAGAGATGGACCATTATCTCTCGGAGCGCGTCATGACTGTATCTATCGCGTTTTTTATCGTGTCGCACTTTACTAAAGGTTTTTAATAAGAATCTACATACGCGACAGATTCACTCAGGTGCATTTCCAAATGGAGATTTAGACAAGGACCAAATATATGGTATGTTTAATAATTTTCCCGATGACAAGTACATTCACCTTATACCACAAACTTCGTCAAATTAACATTTCAATTATCGATAAAAAAGTACCATCCATACGAGACATAAATAGAAGTCATGCAGCTGACATATTACCATTATCAGAAAAATTAAAGATAGGAATGGATGATGAAAAGGAGTTACTCGACAACGCGTTTCTTCAAAAATATGTGATTTACGCGCACAAATATGTTCAACCCCGGTATGCGTCCTTATTACCAGCTCTCATCAGTAATTCGGTCCCTTAACATTTCTAATAAATAATAATCATAAGACTGTCAAGGGAAGCGCGAGAAATGATCAAGTTATTCTTTGTAAACATGGGAAACAAATATCGATCGATGAATGATATGCCGATCACTACCAGACAGCTGGAAACTATGATTAAGTTATCACAGGCAAGAGCTAGAATGGAATTGAGAGAGACTGTTATTGTTGAAGATGTCGAGGAGGTTGCAGAAATTATGTAGGTTCTTGTTGCATGACATGTAATACATATTTGAATAAATTCTCTGATGTGTTGATTTTCTGTTTAGGGAGTTTTGCCTGTTTAGGATTCAACGAGATGAAAACTCACGTGCAAAAGGGAAATCAAAAGCTGGTAAAGTCTTATAATGTTGTTTATCGTAAGCAACACCCTAAAGTGTTTCTACTTTAGGTAAAAGATCGGGAAAACAGGCAGCGACAAAGAGGTATGAGGTTGTAAAATGTTATGCGTCATTCATCACATATTCGTTTATATTAAAGTCAATCTACACCAGGTTCTTGGAGGAACTTGGAAAAATCAGTAATGCCAAAAGGAGCGATATTTTTACCTATCAAGAGCTGAAACAATTTGCCATAGGTAAAAGACACGCCACGCACCTAATAGATCATCAGTGTCAAATATTAATTTCACACGGTCATTACAGATTCCAAGGTACAATATGATGACTTTCAAGGTTTCATAGAGTCGCTTAATGATCAAAATCTACTGCTGAAGAAAGGCCTAGGCAAATTTCAATTGAGGTTTGAATCAAATTAAATACACACAGATTCGTATGATAAAAAAATAAATATATAAGGTCATTTTCACGTCCCATTAATAAAATGAATGGTGCAATTCTTTTTATTTGTAACATTTCAACAATCAAGTTATTTTCAATGAGTAGAGTCAAATTATTCGAGAGTATATACTGCATCTACAGTATATGTAATTTTCCTCGAAAAAAAATGAGTAATTTTATATTGGCGAGCTCCTTTACATTAGACCAGTATATGATGACGAATGATTGATTTCTATAATGCAATCGAATATCGCCAAAGGTGTCCCCTTAAAAATATCTCACAAGTTCTATAAATTACTAACGATTGATGTACATCACTTTATACACTGAGGAACTTTCAAAAAATCACCAAACTTTGAGAATATCCACAAAAGTACACCATTCGTCCATCCAAAACCTGTTTGCACTACATACTCACCTCCACCTCCTGGTAATAATAATTCAAGCGTATTATATTCTAGCGCAAAATAAAGAATAGATAAATATTACGTTAGATATTATAATGGCAAAGAAGAATGCATTGAGACTGGAAATTGTCAAACAATTAATATTGTCGCCTTCGCGAAATATCATTTGGGTGACTAGGCGAACTAATCAAGAACTTACTTTCAAAGATATGACCATTGTCTGTAACATTTGTCAATTTCTCCAACAGTCCAGGTATAGATCCACCCGTCGAATACCACGCACAAAATACAGAATC